AGGACATGTGTGTGTGCAAGGATATGTGCATGTGCAAGGACATGTGTGTGTGCAAGGACATGTGCATGTGCAAGGACATGTGTGTGTGCAAGGACATGTGCGTGTGCAAGGACATGTGCGTGTGCAAGGACATGTGTGTGTGCAAGGACATGTGTGTGTGCAAGGACATGTGCGTGTGCAAGGACATGTGCGTGTGCAAGGACATGTGCGTGTGCAAGGACAAGTGCGTGTGCAAGGACATGTGCGTGTGCAAGGACATGTGCGTGTGCAAGGACATGTGCGTGTGCAAGGACATGTGCATGTGTGTGTGCAAGGACGTGTGTGTGCAAGGACATGTGTGTGTGCAAGGACATGTGCGTGTGCAAGGACATGTGCGTGTGCAAGGACATGTGCGTGTGCAAGGACATGTGCGTGTGCAAGGACATGTGTGTGTGCAAGGACATGTGTGTGTGCAAGGACATGTGCGTGTGCAAGGACATGTGCGTGTGCAAGGACATGTGCGTGTGCAAGGACATGTGCGTGTGCAAGGACATGTGCGTGTGCAAGGACATGTGCGTGTGCAAGGACATGTGCGTGTGCAAGGACATGTGCATGTGCAAGGACATGTGCGTGTGCAAGGACATGTGCGTGTGCAAGGACATGTGCGTGTGCAAGGACATGTGCGTGTGCAAGGACATGTGCGTGTGCAAGGACATGTGTGTGTGCAAGGACATGTGCGTGTGCAAGGACATGTGTGTGTGCAAGGACATGTGTGTGTGGAAAGGGCAAAAAAGTTTGTATTCAGTGTTTCAAGAGCTGGATGACTGTGGGCAAGAAAAGTGAAAAGTGTTCTTCTTCCTCTGGGTCCTAAAGCCTGGGAGCCTGAGCCCACATGGGAGCTCAGTGTTGGAGTGTGGCGTTATCATTAGACAGAGAATTCCATTTACAAGGAGCATCATAATTGTGTTAACTTGATATTTCAGATTTTTCACAATTAATGCAAGAAATCAACGTTTTTTCCCAATCCAGATTAATAACTGTAATTCAGTGTATTTCTGGCGTCAGTGTTTGCAGTGAGGACAACCTCCAGTGGAATTCTCAAACATTCAGTCACCGCTCTCCCATATGGCACCGCAAACATAAAAACTGCACTCTTTCCGACGATCATTACTGCTGACACCAGACTTCTTCTCTCCCTCCCGACTTACACTTCCAAGCAACTTCATGAAACAAAAAGCCATGTTTGCGACACTTAACAAAGATCACAGCGTGGCCCGCCTGACAGACGAGCTCCAGATTCCCAGCCACACATTCATTTAGTGAGCGCTTAAACTAACTGGAGGAGGCTATAATATGTTGAAATATGAATGACAAAGGCGTGCGCGAGGAGCCATCTGGGCTGAGGAAAAATACATAACGAGCAGAGGGGGGCAAGGAGTTATCCACGCTTTACGGGATCCACAGGTACCTCACGGAATCAATCTGGATTTTTGATTTGATTAGGTCAGCGGCGGCGGAGAGAGAAAACTGTTGTGATTCTTGATTAAGCTTGTTTTGGTTGGGTCTATCCTCCAGTGTCTCACCCCCCCCCCCCCCACGGGTCACAGCCGGGTATCCAACTTTCAAACCTGAGAAAGATGTATGTATTTATTACTATACTTTTGGCCAGTTTTCAACATGACGACCAAGACAAGACAAATAATAAATAAAATAAATGATGAAACTAATCTACTCGTTCATACAAATCAAACACATCTGTGGCCAAAATATTAGCCTGAAACCAAATGTTCTTTTTCTTGGTATTCAACCAAACAGGAGGGAACATAATATTACATCTTTTGGACTCTATCAAAAACAGCTACTGAACAATTAACAAGATATTGGGAAAATAATTAAAACTAAAGCGGCTTGGCTCGAACTCAATATGCAAATATTCAACATATTGTTCCAATCATAATGAAAATTAGAACATGTTAAAAGGATAAAATGATTAATATAAAATTACATATTTGATATTATATAAACTCAATTTAACCATTTGGATGTTTTTATTTCATTCTATTTTCCTGTATTTCATTGTGTTGTTTCTGTGTTTTCTTCTTTTTATCTATTATACCACATTTCATATGGATGCCTAAAAAGAAAATATATACAGTATATGTATATGTACTTAAAGGTATATTGGAGGATTATCCCACATTTTAGGAAAAAACCTCCCTCTCTTTTTTGGGAGGAGCAGTTATCACCAGAATGATTGACAAATGGGACGACCAATAGTCTCGATGATCCACCCGGAAGTAAAAAATCCTCCCTTTAATCCATCCATCCGTTTTCTTCCCCTTAATCCATTTCTGGGTCGGGGGGGGGGTCTCATAGCACCAGCCCCTCACTGACCCTCTGCAGGAGCTGAGTCCACAGGAGGCTGCTCTGTCAGTGTGAGCATAGCCTTGATCTTTCAGTGGGGGCTTCAGGCAGAGTGGGGTTAAGTGTCTTGCCCAAGGACACAACGACAGCAGACATCAGTGGGAGTCGGTGGAGAAGGTGTCAAGGTGGGATCGAACCCACAACCTTCTGGCCTAAAGGATAATGCTCTACCAACTGAGCTTCTGTCGCCCTCCTGTATCATAAATATGTATAAATATTGTGTTCTGTTTACACGGTGACTGTATCAATGAAACACAATAAAGTAAAAAGAAAGAAACTAATCTAACGAGATCCTCATCTCGGCCTCGGTCGTTTCTTTGGATCAGTTTTTTCAGACAGAAAAGAGAAGAAAGAGAAAGCCACCCTCACACGGACAATCAGCTCTTAGCCCAAAGTGTTAAATTGTGCCTCACATGGTCCTTTCTTACAAGCACCCATCTGTGTCACATGTTTGTCTTCTGATTTCAGATTTTGTTATTCTCTCTACGCTTGGTACAAGAAAAACATTATTAAGATGTGTGAAGATTGTTGTTGCTCTGTCAGCGGTGTTTTGAAGTTTGGTAAAACATGAATCCGGAACAGATTGACTATTTTATAAAGCCACTTCTTACAGTTTGATAAAAGTGAGAAAACACAATGAATCAGTGTGAATTCTGAATTATCAAAAGTGAAATGAGGACGCGCCACATGCTCCTCTCCTGCACACAACACACCTCTATGGTTTAATGACAGGGACAATACAGTCATACAACAACTGACGCAACACATATAGAGTGTGTAGCTAATGCTAAGTGTGTAGCTAATGCTGTGTGTAGCTAATGCTAAGTGTGTAGCTAATGCTAAGTGTGTAGCTAATGCTAAGTGTGTAGCTAATGCTAAGTGTGTAGCTAATGCTAATTTAAACTCCTGTCCCCGGTTGAGCTTTTCCCTTCAGTGCAACACATTATATAGAATAAAACGACAGCCCTAAAACACATATTTACACAGACGCACACATTTTACATTATTTACAAATTGTGGAGATTCAGATTCAGTGTATTTGCCGTTTTAAGTTTGAATTTTTTGTAGAAAAAATTGTTAATTAGATATTGGCATCGGATGGACCAATATCAAAAAGATGAAGTCATACTGAAAACCAGTTTATAAAGCAAGGAGACATACAGAGACAATCTAAGTATATGTTAAACAATTCACACATGTGTCCTTGGATCAGGTAATTACAACTCCCCGTTTTACTAATGAATATTTACATTTTAATTAGAATGTATATGTAAATAACTGAATAACATGCATCAATGTATCGTCATATTCTCCAACCCCACTCAGCGTTTCTAAATACATGTGTATGTCTTGTTGTTCAAAATAACATTTAAAAAAAACATTTATATGAATATTATTATTTTTTTATACTAAAAAACTATTTTCAGATTCATCTATTTGCCACCTTTCCCACCTCTGCACCTTCTCCACCGACTCCCACTGATAACTGCTGTCGTTGTGTCCTTGGGCAAGACACTTAACCCCACTTTGCCCAAAGCCCCCACTGAAAGATCAAGGCTATGCTCACACTCAGAGAGCAGCCGTCCTCCTGTGGACTCACCACCTGCAGAGGGTCAGTGAGGGGCTGGTGCTATGAGACTTGGGTGGCATCTCTGACTGCCACCCCCCTGACCCAGAAATGGATTAAAGGGAAGAACATGGATGGATGGATCTATTTGCCATGTGCTTTTACTGAAAATGTCAAAGAAAATAAATCTGAAAATAGTTTTCCAATAAATTCCAATAACAATTAGATCATGATAAATAGGAAAAAAAATATGAATATAACATTAAACATAATTAAATATTAGATATGATTTATATACACTCGATATAACCATTTTTATCATTTATATTTGATCTATTTTACCTTCTTTTTTTTGCTATGTGTTGTTGTGTTTATTTTTCTCTGTAACTATTATAACACATTTCACACGAGTGCTTAAAAAATAATATATATATACATTAGATTCAGATTCATTTATTTGCCATTTGCAGTAAAACCTCATAGGAAAAACTGTGCAAGACTACCCCAGTGTGCGCCAGACGACACACACCAGAGCTCTTGCCACGGCGCCATCTTTACGGCGCCATGCGCATTTTCCAAAATTTTAGGAAAGAACCGCTCTCTCCACTTTTTTAAACAAAACTCTCTGGTCTTATTTGACGAGCACGTATCACCAAAATGATTGACAATTGGGAGGACCAATAGTCTTGATGATCCACCCGGAAGTAGAACATCCTCCAATATACCTTCACCAGCCCAAAAAAAACTTCAAATTTAAACACTTGAAAATACAAAATGAAAGGTGTTGCATCATATATATATATTATATATATATATATATATATATATATATATATATATATATATATATATATATATATATATATGCATCATATACCCACTGTACAGTACATGCTTTCTGCCATGTGGGCTCAGAGACACGAATAGGATTGTGAATTTGCCACAATGCAAATGCATAAATATGTCTGACTGAGATGATTGACAAGTACAGACGGCTCAAACTGTGAAGCTATATGTGTTCCGTGAGAAAATGCCCACACACAAGTCAAGAGGTTCCCCTGAAGTCATATTTACATCCGTGAGCAGCACTTTTCCCATTGGCAGGTGAAGTGGTGCATCCACACTTTCTGCTGCTCGTCTCCGTGGCGATGTAATGGAATGTTCCGTGGTGGTATTGAACTTACTCCTGCTCCTCACGATAGAGTTTAAGCCCCAGGCACACGCACAATTCCCTACACCTACACAAGCCCCTGTTTTTGTGTGTGTTTGAACAACTGCATGTAATGAGAAGCCTGTGAAAAATCTATATTAAAAGATCGAGGGAAGGTCTATTGGTTTTCCCTCCTGGTATTATGCATAGTACACTGCAAAAAAAGTACAAAATCATGTACGCCGACCCCACCCCCTGTATCTCTGGGGCCAGGACTCCCCTACATTTGATTCAGAAATCTCAGTGGGACTTTCCTGGTTAAATATTGTAAATATAAATGTAAACTTTGTTAATCCCTGTAGGTACTTTTGTCCTTTCTGAAACCTAAGTAATCTTTGTTTATAAAGCGTCTTTCACAGAGCAGTCATAACGAGCTTTACAATTATTACTGCCTTAGCTGGAGGATTTACTGTACCTACTGTGCATGGGTTTAGTGGTAGGGGAAACCGGAGTACCTGGAGGAAACCTACTCAGATACAAGGAGAAAATGTAACCCAGGACTTTCTTGCTAAGAAGCGAGAGTGGGCGGCATGGTGCCTGAGTGGTCCCGGGTTAGAATCCCCGGTAGGAACAGGGCCTTTCTGAGTGGAGTTTGCATGTTCTACCTGTGTCTGCGTAGGTTTCCTCCAGGTGCTCCGGTTTCCCCTACCACTAAAAACATGTACACAATAGGTGACCCGCTCCCATCTCTGTGTGGAGGGAGAGACAGATTGTAAAGCGCTTTGTGGCTCTGGTCTGTGAAAGGCACTATATAAATACTATCCACTCAGCCGCCGTGCTGCGCAATGGTAAATGTTAACAGTAAATGAATAGAATAAAAATATGTTTACATTTACAATTTCCTGATTGTCAAAGACTCTGAAAATCATATTTAGACTTTTATATTCTAAATGTATTTGAACTAAGACTGGATCTTTTTTGCAGTAGAGTTGTGGACCCGACATTTACCCATTCTCTCCCAGTGACATTGCACCTTGCTATGATTAACCTAAAATCCATTCTTCCATGCTGCCCACACTCAAACAAAAAGGCTTTTCATGGCTGGCTTAATCTAATTGTGTTAGCCTCTTGTTGTTAAGGTAGCCGCTGTGACTTTGAGTTATTCTCCACGCGGCATAATGCGCTGCTGGGATTGAATGCGGCACGTGCTCCATTGCTCAAGGTGTGAGACCGGACACCAGTGCATTAGGCCTGACTGACCTCAGCGTATGTGGCGGGGGCGGATTAAAGCCTGACTGACCTCAGCGTATGTGGCAGGGGCGGATTAAAACTGGACACCTTCACTCAGGTGATCTATTTGCACTATTATTGGGTTGGTTACTTCAAGGGTTAAACTTCAGCCTCAATTCCCGGTTGGTCTTTAAAATGGAAAACTGTGTGAACCTGTTCTCGCCTTGTTGGATTTTTTTCTGGCCTTTTTGTTGTTGGTGACAAATGAGGATTTAATGGTGTGCTGAAACTAAATTAAACGTCCAGGGTTGTACACGAAAGTACTCAGACCTGGTAGATCGATAGAAAAGACATCACATTGAGCCATAGAAAGTACGTAAAAAACAGATGTGTGTTTGTTATTGGAGTAAACATGTGGAATCGTAATGATCAGCTTAAGCTAATTCATACATTATCAACATTTAAAGCTGCCTTAAAATGTGAAATAATTAATTCATATATTTTGCCTTCAAAATAATAATACAATCAAAAAGGGAACAACATTTTTTATTCTTTCTCGCAAGTGGGGTTAAGTGTCTTGCCCAAGAGCACAACGACAGCAGACATCAGTGGGAGTCGGTGGAGAAGGTCTCGTGGTGGGGTCTCTACCCACTGGGCCACTGTCGCAGCCCAACTGAACTTTCCCCATCCATCCATCCATCCATTTTCTTCCCTTTAATCCATTTCTGGGTCAGGGGGGTGGCAGTCAGAGATGCCACCCAAGTCTCATAGCACCAGCCCCTCACTGACCCTCTGCAGGTGGTGAGTCCACAGGAGGACGGCTGCTCTCTGACTGTGAGCATAGCCTTGATCTTTCAGTGGGGACTTTGGGCAAAGTGGGGTTAAGTGTCTTGCCCAAGGACACAACGACAGCAGTCATCAGTGGGAGTCGGTGGAGAAGGTGTAGAGGTGGGAATTGAACCCACGACCTTCAGGCCTGAAGGCCAATGCTCTACCAACTGAGCTACTGTCGCCCCTTTCCCCATGGAGGATAAATACAAGTTTCATATTCCCATAGTATTATAGCGATAGCAAACAGAGTATTTCTTTATGATTTCCCATTAGCCGGAGGCAGAGGTCAGCTGGTTTCTCTGAGGTCTGTTAAAATTCAAATGAAAACATGTACATGCAATACACAAATGCATAAGCAATGTGTCCGCTTTATACACACTACATTAGAGTTATAAATAAAACACATTCCAAACTACCACGTTCATATTTCTAAGTGGTAGAATCTTTCCAAACAATGATCAGACATAACTCGTCCAAGCACACACACAGTCACACACACACACACACACACACACAGTCACACACACACACACACACACACACACACACACACACACACACACACAGTCACACACACACGCACACACACACACACACACGGTCACACACACACACACACACAGACGAACACACACACACACACACGGTCACACACACACACACACACAGACACACACACACACAGATACAGACACAGACACGCACAGACGCAGACACACACGCACAGACACACACACAGACACGCACAGACGCAGACGCACACACGCACAGACACAGACACACACACAGACACACAGACACACACACACACAGACACACACACACACAGATAAAGACACGCACGCACACACACGCACGCACACACACACACACACACACACACAGATAAAGACACACACACAGATACAGACACACACACACACACAGACACACACACACACACACACACAGACAAAGACACACACACACACACACACACACACACACACAGATACAGACACACACACACACACAGACACACACACACACACACACACACACAGATAAAGACACACACACACACACACTCAGGTGAACTTTTCCAGCTTGTGTTGGAAATGGAGAGTGTGTTGCGGTGAGGAGCAGGTTGATTGTAATTACTGGGCCCTTTGAGCCTGGCTTCGGTCACCTCGGAGCCTGGCTTCGGTCACCTCGGAGCCTGCAGAGGTCACCTCGGAGCCTGGCTTCGGTCACCTCGGAGCCTGCAGAGGTCACCTCGGAGCCTGCAGAGGTCACCTCGGAGCCTGGCTTCGGTCACCTCGGAGCCTGCAGAGGTCACCTCGGAGCCTGGCTTCGGTCACCTCGGAGCCTGGCTTCGGTCACCTCGGAGCCTGGCTTCGGTCACCTCGGAGCCTGCAGAGGTCACCTCGGAGCCTGCAGAGGTCACCTCGGAGCCTGCAAAGGTCACCTCGGAGCCTGGCTTCGGTCACCTCGGAGCCTGCAGAGGTCACCTCGGAGCCTGCAGAGGTCACCTCGGAGCCTGGCTTCGGTCACCTCGGAGCCTGGCTTCGGTCACCTCGGAGCCTGCAGAGGTCACCTCGGAGCCTGGCTTCGGTCACCTCGGAGCCTGGCTTCGGTCACCTCGGAGCCTGCAGAGGTCACCTCGGAGCCTGGCTTCGGTCACCTCGGAGCCTGCAAAGGTCACCTCGGAGCCTGGCTTCGGTCACCTCGGAGCCTGGCTTCGGTCACCTCGGAGCCTGGCTTCGGTCACCTCGGAGCCTGCAGAGGTCACCTCGGAGCCTGCAGAGGTCACCTCGGAGCCTGCAAAGGTCACCTCGGAGCCTGCAGAGGTCACCTCGGAGCCTGCAGAGGTCACCTCGGAGCCTGGCTTCGGTCACCTCGGAGCCTGCAGAGGTCACCTCGGAGCCTGGCTTCGGTCACCTCGGAGCCTGCAAAGGTCACCTCGGAGCCTGCAGAGGTCACCTCGGAGCCTGGCTTCGGTCACCTCGGAGCCTGCAGAGGTCACCTCGGAGCCTGCAGAGGTCACCTCGGAGCCTGGCTTCGGTCACCTCGGAGCCTGCAAAGGTCAGCGCTCCTTTCCACCATTGTCTCCGTAGATAAAGAGAGAGGGAGCAAAGAGGACCGGAAATCTCGCCGCCACTCCCTGCACTCAGCGACCTCCGTGAGTCCAGGTTTGATCCCGGCAAAAAGCACTATTGATTATTACGCTATTAAAAAAAACAGAGCAGATTCATAAAGCACAGGTGCATAAAAAATACATGACGAACCACTTATTCCAAGTGCGTGAGTTATGAGAGTCTGTCAATAAGCAGCTGCAAGATGGGGTTATGAAGGATATTGTGTCATGGGCAGAGGGTATTGGCTTACGACCTGCGACTCAAGACTTTCCATGAAACATCCAAAGGTTTCGTTGTCTTTGGTTTGGATCTTTGTATTTGTTGAGTGGTGTAGTATTTATCTTTATACAGCGCCTTTCACAGACTAGTCACAAAGCGCTTTACAATTGTTTTGTGCATTTGTCTCTCAGTCCACACAGAGAGTGAGGACGCCTACAGGAGGTGCATGCCAGACCTATTGGACATGCTTTTAGTGGTAGGGAAAACCGGAGCACCTAGAGGAAACCTACGCAGAGAACATGCAAACTCCACTCAGAAAGGCCCTGGTCCGACTGGGATTCGAACTCAGGACCTTCTTGCTGAGAGGCGAGAGTGCTGTGTTCAGTAGTGTTTGTATGTGAGCAACTGAACTAAAAGAGTCATGGAAGGATTTGGTCATGTTCAGGAAACATGTACAGTAGCCCAACGAACACGTTTTCCAAATCATCTGGATTTTTATTTTTTAAGGAATGGAACTGGACCTATAGGATTGTGCCCAACAAGTTGTTTTCTAGTTTTATGTCTAAAACAGAGTGTACATAAAGAAATCTGATAGAAATCTGAAATCTACAGCATTATATATATATGTCTGTCCTCTATACAGTTACAGTACAGTATATATATATATACAGTATACTGTATATATACATACTGTACTGTAACTGTTTTCTATGGAGAGCCTTGAAATAACATGTTTGGCACATTGAAACATGCCTGAGAGATGAATGTGAAATATAATGTGTATATAATTGTTTCCTTGGTTCGAATAACTGACTGTGAGATTGACATGGTAAATTCTTTCAAAATTTTGGCAAATCAAGATTTATGCTTAAATCACTTTTCCCAACCAAACTTTTAAAATACAATTTCTGATATCAAAATGTCTTGCCCCCAGTATGCCAGTGAACATGATAAATTGCCAGGGCAAAATGGATTTAAAAGAACTGGAATGAGTTTTGCAGCCAGCAGAAATAATACAAAGACATAACTAAATTTAGCCTCGTTTGTGTTGTGAAAAATGGAAGAATGTGAAATATTTCAGGCTGCTCCATGCAGCAGAATAAATGTGCTCATTTCCACCCCCCACCCCCAACATCACTAATGCTACATATATGGCTGTACCTAATAAAGCCTGTTGTGGCTCACACCAGAAGGGAAACTTTCTGTCCGATGTGATGAAACACTGCGCAGTACGACAGACTGGGGGGAAATGTTCCCAAGAATAGCTAAGTGTATCATATATCATGCATGGAGCCATCTGTTCCTTACATTCAAAATGTTATTGCAATATTTAGAATTACAGATTATTCATGTACGTGTAATTAACAGTGCCAAAATCAAACAAATGGGACAAAGCTACAATTAGTTTCAGGACATGTTTGAGCAGAATCTATCTCCAGTAACCATTTATGCTCCAGCGCCTCAGGGTGTGCAGATGGAGAAGAAAAGTCTAACTCTAATTTTAACAGTTTTGGCAATCATTTAGTCGCTCTTGATCCCTCATCGCACCACAGCAGACGCCACAGCGGATTCATTCTTCAGCATTGAGAGTAGGTCAGCGGGGCAGAAGTGGGACAGAAGTGGCCGTTACCAGGTGCCGCGTACACAGTGTCTGTGGAGCCTGGCCCTGGTGTCCCCATACATTTTGCATAACAACATGCATCTGCTGCATATTTAATGGTGTACATGACATTTTCCAGTCTTGGAGGGTCCGGTGAAGCAGCCACAGCTAAGGCACATTAGCGTCAGCGCATCGGCCGAGGATCTGACATGACATTTAGGCACAACACTACCGTACATTATATAGCACTTTGTTATGCTACGCCTTGTTCCAGACACTTTGCATCATTGTTCAAAGTGTACAAAGTAAGAAATCTTTATTTCCATAGCGCCTTTATGAAGCAATATGTAAGAATTTCATGTCATCAATAAATGTCCATTAATAAAACGTGCTCTTTTCAAATACTTCTTTAACTGATAACAGTAGTTCAGGGATATTTGGATTTCAACATGAGTTTTCCAGCTCCTAATTCTTGTTATTGTTTTCATTTCGATGTCCCGCCCTCCACCGTTTCACCAATCAGAAAGTCTGTGATCCGGGCGCCAGAACTCACCGTATCGAGCTAATCTCACTGGTAAAGTACCATGTGGCGCAGAACTAAAAAAGGTCTCGTTATGATTCTCAACTCATTAACGACAAAACCTGAAATAAAACAAGGACTTCCACCGTGCCTTTGTGAAAAAGGTGTTGGTTTTGTCTATTCAGCTGTTATGGTCCCAGCTGGATTCATCTGCATATCTGGCAACCTGAGTCAGGGAGAGTGGCATTGAGGTCGGGTTACGGATTAGGATAAGATCAGATAAACTTTATTGATCTCACAATGGGAAAAAATGACCAAATCTTGTGCAAGCATGCCAGGGTTGAGCTGACGGCCTCTGACCGTGTCTCATCAATGTATATTTTTAAAAGTTACAGTAAAACATGTTGTCTCTGTTAGTCAAAAAAGTTTTAACGGATAGCAAAAAAAAAAAACTAAAAAGTTCTAAACTCCGGAGTTCTTGTTCTTCATTAATGCAGCTTTTCATTTGTTGTCTGTGGGAATTTCAGAAAGTGGAATTATTTATTTATTTTGGATCACAGGAGATACTATTTATTTCTTGGGAAAATAATGAGTTATGTCCGTGCAGCATTTCTCAATCTTGCTGTAAAATAGAATGTCAAACTCTCCGTAGGGCAGTGACCATGGCAGGTCAAGCTGCAGAACCACAACAGAAATAACAGTTTAAATCCCGAAAGCTCCGCAAATGTGGATTTTTTTACTTCTTACTGAAACCAGAGCTCATGTGGTGTCCCTGGAGAATCTCTTCATAGAATTGACTTTACACTTTGATCAAAAATGTCAGAAATTTAGAAATCAATTATTACAGAATTATTGGATCCAGGTCCCACAGTGCAACACTTTTTCTGTGTGGAGTTTGCATGTTCTCCACGTGTCTTTGTAGATTCTCTCCGGGGGCTTCGGTTTCTCCATCCACTAAAGACATGTACAATAGGTCTGGCTTGTGCCTCCTGTCTGGCGACTTCACTCCCATCTCTGTGTGGAGTGAGAGCGAAAATACCCCGAAAGAAAATATATAATTGTAACGTGCTTTGTGACTCTGGTCTCTGAATGGCGCTATACAAATAAAGATGACTTACTTACTCTTGTTGTGCTCTTAGGCAAGACACTTCACCCACATTGCCTAGAAAGAGTCTAGTGTGTGTGTGTGTGTTAATGGCTTCTGTCAGTGTGCCCCAGGGCAGATGTGGCTACAGTAGTAGTTTATCACCACTGTGCAGGAAGTGAAAGAATAATATCATGTGAAGGGTCTTTGAGTGTCCAAAAAGCAGTATTTAAAACCGATGGAGAATAATAATAATATTTGGTAAAAATTAAAAACAACTATTTCATTAGTAGACACTCGGCATTTACCAACATTTATGAACTTTTAGGCTTAGACCAGAATAACTTAAAATAAACAGGTTAGTTGTGATTTAACGTTTAACTTGTTTTAGCCCGAGTACAAACTTTGATGCTGATCCTGATGAAGTGCTGGTCCTCACTGGGCTGGGCATCACATTCCCGTTGGCATAAGCAGAATCTTGATAAATGCATTTGACACACGAGTCCTTCCCCGGTAGAAATGTTACCCCCTTCTTGTCTAAATTGGCAGGTGAAAGAGCGCTTTGCTGATACCAAATTTCCATAAATAACTGTGTAGCCTAGAGTTTCGCTTTTCAGCCCGAGCCCGAGCAGGCCCGAGGCTTGACCTGAGTTCGGGCCGGGCTCGGGCCTCATTTGGCGCTCAGCTGTCGGGTTCGTGCCGGGCTCGGGCTTCTTTTTTTAAATATATGTTTCTTTTTTATTATTATTATAATTATTTTAAATTATTTTTATACATAATGATTTGCATATATATATATATATATATATATATATATATATATATATATATATATATATTAATAAAAATGTCCGTTGATTGACAAACAAGTTATTAAAAAAAGTGAATATATTAATGACACCGTAACCAGCGTGTCCTACAGCAGCAGCGAGCCGTGAACGCATCATCCCCGTGTCTCCTGCTGCTGTGGTCAACAGCGAACAGGAACAATAGTAGAAATGGATCAAGTGGAGACAAAACAAATTAAAAAGTGGAGACTAAACTTGCAATTGGAAGGTGAGTGCGTACAACGGGAAATCAGATGTGTCGGGTTCTGTCGGGCTCGGGCCTGTTATACAGCGTTCATTGGTCGGGCTTATACAGGCTCGGGCTTAACATTAGCGGGCTCGGGCCGGGTCCGGCTTCATTCTTCAGGCCCGAACGAAACTCTAGTGTAGCCTATCACAGAAGTGGCTGAGGTAGAATCCGTACTCCTGACAGCTCGTCACAGTGACAGATATATTTCCCTCACCTTTACTCACTTCTAAGACTCACATTCTCTTCTCTGGCCCTGAAAAGATATATGTTTGATGTTGGACCAATGTTGAAGGTCATGAAAGGATAGTGATGCTGCAGTGGTTTTATACAGCGGCTGTTTGGATACTCAAAGATGCATTATATGTAATTAATTGTATTTATTGACTTATTTGATAGGGACAAGTGAACACAATCAACATGTGAAACACTACAACATTTACAGCCAACACAATGAAAAACACAATTTACATTATAGTATTCACATTACACAAAAGTCCTCCAACTCATTAGTGATTCACAACTGGTTTGTTTCAGTTTGTGTTTAAAACCAGCTCAGTCAGATTTCAGTTTTAGCTAAAGGCTGAGGGCGTAAAGATTTCCAGAGCTTTGTCCCCTGGACCGAGAAGACTGACCTGACTTTTACACAATGGTGGTAAAATCCCACAGTAGCCACAGCTGCCCTGTTGACTGACTGACAGAAACACACGCACGCACACACACACACACGCACGCGCACGCGCACGCGCACGCGCACGCGCACGCACACGCACACGCACACGCACACACACACACGCACACGCACACGCACACACACAGACACACACGTACACACACGCACACACGCACACACGCACACCCGCACACACGCACACACACACACACACACGCACACACGCACACACGCACACACACACACACACACACACACACACACACACGACAATGCAGGTGAAGTGAGTCTTGGCTCAGGATACAGCAACAGTTTGGCACAACCACAGCCGTCCCACTGTGGCACCTATTGCCAGAGGTCTCCCATCACCGTGCTAACAAGGCCCTGTTCTGCTTAGGCTCTGAGATCTGCCGGGATCAGGCTTTCATGTAACTTTTCAAATAGTAATAAAATTGTCTTTATTGTTTCTTTAAATGATATAAAGTTTTCAAATCCTCCCCACTTTGTTTTCCTGATCTCCGACGCCAAATTCTTCTAAACTCTGCTGCTGATTATCATATTTTCTCTTGTCATGGCCAGTCTTTAGAAATTCACAAAAAAAAAGGTTGACAAATAAATATTGTTATAAATCAGCTCAGCTAGGGAAAGGGAAGTAAGAAGACTGAGATGGAAAGGATAAAAGTAAGTCATTTAATGCATTTCTAACGGGTTTACACAAAAAATACTCCTAAAATACTGAAGCCACAACAAACCAGAAGAAGGTCATCTGTACATTCACTTTGTCTCACATATTTATTTATTATTATTTTTGTCACTCTATTACACCAACTTGTGATGCAAAATGTAAGCGTGAAGGAGAATTGGCTAATCTTAGATGCATTGCACACTGAAAATGAGATACTTCACGTTCATCTGAAAATATATTCAGACAATTAGTCCTCTATGTTGTTATGACATCAGTGTGATACAGTCTAATGTGTATTTTATTTTATATTGACTGTGCTGTACATGCATGTTAGAGCTGTTGGAGCTGTTAGAGCTGTTAGAGCTGTTAGAGCTGTTAGAGCTGTTAGAGCTGTTGGAGCTGTTGGAGCTGTTGGAGCTGTTGGAGCTGTTGGAGCTGTTGGAGCTGTTGGAGCTGTTGGAGCTGTTGGAGCTGTTGGAGCTGTTGGAGCTGTTGGAGCTGTTAGAGCTGTTAGAGCTGTTAGAGCTGTTAGAGCTGTTGGAGCTGTTGGAGCTGTTGGAGCTGTTGGAGCTGTTGGAGCTGTTGGAGCTGTTGGAGCTGTTGGAGCTGTTGGAGCTGTTGGAGCTGTTAGAGCTGTTGGAGCTGTTGGAGCTGTTGGAGCTGTAGGAGCTGTTGGAGCTGTTGGAGCTATTGGAGCTGTTGGAGCTGTTGGAGCTGTTGGAGCTGTTGGAGCTGTAGGAGCTGTTAGAGCTGTTAGAGCTGTTAGAGCTGTTGGAGCTGTTGGAGCTGTTGGAGCTGTTGGAGCTGTTGGAGCTGTTGGAGCTGTAGGAGCTGTTAGAGCTGTTAGAGCTGTTGGAGCTGTTGGAGCTGTAGGAGCTGTTGGAGCTGTTGGAGCTGTAGGAACTGTTGGAGCTATTGGAGCTGTTGGAGCTGTTGGAGCTGTTGGAGCTGTTGGAGCTGTAGGAGCTGTTAGAGCTGTTAGAGCTGTTAGAGCTGTTAGAGCTGTTAGAGCTGTTAGAGCTGTTAGAGCTGTTGGAGCTGTTGGAGCTGTTGGAGCTGTTGGAGCTGTTGGAGCTGTTGGAGCTGTTGGAGCTGTTGGAGCTGTTGGAGCTGTTGGAGCTGTTATAGCTGTTGGAGCTGTAGGAGCTGTTAGAGCTGTTATTTGCAAATGCACTCAAACTCATTGTTTTTTTTTTAGTGATGTCTTTCCAAAACTAATAATTAGACTCATGACATCATCTAAAATGTATTTTTCTCTTATGGAAAGTGATCTGCCTTTTGTCGACATAAATACCAATACATCAAAGCACTACTCTTAAACGCTATTGCAAGGTTCTATACTAAATAAGTTTGATATCCAAATAATAAACACATTTGCACAGAGATATGTGATTTTATACTCAAACTATATTTTTCTGATTTTCTATGCCTTTCTCACCCCATGTACTTAAACACATGGTCAATCTGTAGCAGAAATCTGACTATGAGCAGTGGTGGCAGTTGTGTTCTGATTTGCAAACAAGATTCCAGCCTCAATCGACGGGCCCCGATGTCCACGCACTTTGATTAATCAGTCTCTATCGGAATGGGCCATTAATGTGGTTTTCTCTACACTCTCATGTGACGCATTGAGTTTCTTTCCACACTTCCGTCTCTCTCTCTCCGTCCATCTCATCGCTCCTCTCAATCACATATCTCCCCTTTCCTTTCCTCTTTTCTCTTCTCTAGCTAATACTCGGCTGAATCATTAGCTACCTCTGTAGACCTGCACTTAACTATGTAGACTGCGAGGACTCCGGAAAAAAAACGGTGGGAGTAGAATCCGTCGCTCTCCTTCCTCATTACGACACCGAGATTGTTGGAGTCATTTCTGAGTAAAAAAAAAGGAAAAATGAAATATATAAATATATCTTTTTTGCACAAGATGGCATATTTCCTGACAGGGTAAGCAGTCCTGCAGCCGTTTGATTGGGAGACATGGTTAGTGCAAATGGCTGTGTACGTATAAGAGGCCGCCATCGCAAACTGTAAAGAATCTCTGAATATACTTTCTCCAGTTAGCCTTGGATTTCTTCATCACTGCACCAGGACCCGAAATATATAAATAAGTGTCTACGCAGCGAGAAGCACTGACAGACACTATATTTGCCGCCAACTAAAGCCGCAGTGCTTTTGAGAACGCATGACCACTTCAAGGACTATCCCAGACTTTGGGAAAATACTGTTATGTAAGGTGATGATGCAAGATGTGTATTTGTGAGGAAGTAGACGCCGGTGGATTTCTTTAACCTATTCTTTTTTTTCATAATTGAAAACACATTTGAAGAAATTGCCTGTATATTCTGTATTGATGGAGGAAAGGACTGTATATACTGGTGCATCGCTTTCATTGGTGGGAATAAGGAACCTCTGCATAGTTTTCTACAGATTTTGTACGCACAGAAGCAGTATACGTTGTATTATTTATGAGGGGCTACAACGTCTTCCAAATTACAATCAATTATTGATCATGCTTATCCAGAGTTTGTGATGCTATAGCCTGTATTCCTTTGGGGGTATCCCAGTCAGGGCATGTTGATCAAAGTATCTTTACAAAATACAGTTTAGAATAATGTTTAGAACTTCTCGCACACTATTACGCACCTGCCGACAATATGAACGGAAATGGAAAAAGACACAACTCACAGTATTTCACCTCGCCTGGAAAGACAGCCTCAAACAGTATCAACACGTAGTCAAGGAAGCAAGAACCTTATTTTATTCAAATACCATCAGTCAAAACATTTCAAATCCTAGAGTTTTATTTCAAGTTTTAAATTCTATCACAAACCCCAGTCCTGCTGTTTTTAATGATGCATCCACTGAGCTGTGTGAACAATTTTTAAATCATTTTATCAAAAAGATCACTGATATCCGGGCCCAAATATCTGCTCCCAGCCAAGCAATTTTTATAGACAGAGAAACTCTGGATTTTAACTGTTTTACTAATTTTATGCCTTTATCCCTTTCTCTTTTATCTGACATTTTATTCCACATAAAACCAGCCACGTGCAGCCTCGATGTCATCCCCACCAAATTTCTCAAAGATGTTTTTAATGTGGTTGGACCCTCCATTTTATCAATCATTAATCAGTCCCTGGACCAAGGTCTTGTCCCATCCAGTTTTAAACATGCTGTGGTCCAGCCACTTTTAAAGAAGCCTAATTTAAGCACTACTGATTTTAACAATTTTAGACCCATTTCAAAACTTCCTTTTTTATCCAAAGCTTTAGAGAAAATTGTTTCAATTCAGATTTTAGATTTTATTAATGAGAACCACATCTTTGAGAAATTCCAATCAGGTTTTAAAGCACAACACAGTACTGAGACAGCCCTCCTTAGAGTTTTAAATGACCTTCTTTTAACCACAGACAGCGGAGAGTGCTCTATTTTAATTCTTTTAGACCTAAGCCCAGCCTTCGACACGATCGACCACAGGATTTTATTGGATCGCCTCAAAACGTGGGTTGGCATCAGAGATACTGCACTTGGTTGGTTTCATTCTTATCTTTTAGACAGAACCTTTGCGGTCACCATGGGTGATTTTACCTCCTCTACAGCCCCCATTACCTGTGGTGTACCGCAAGGTTCTATTTTATGTCCCATTTAATTCTCTATTTATATGCTCCCCCTAGAACACGTTATGGCCCGTCATAACGTGTCCTTCCACTGCTCTGCGGACGACACACAGATCTACCTCCCGCTGAGACCAAACCACCCTGGAGTCTGTCTGCTGTGGTCGACTGTTTTAACGATGTGAACCGTTGGATGGACCATAACTTTCTACAGCTCAACACCTCCAAATCTGAAGTCCTCCTCATCAACCCGCCTCCATCTATATCCCACATCCAAACCCACCTCGGCCCTGTCCTCAAACATCACTCCCTCCGCCCGTAACCTTGGTGTCATTTTTGATTCTCACCTCACTTTCCGCTCCCACATCAATAAAACCACCCAAACCTGCTTCTTTCACCTCCGCACAATCTCAAAGATTAAAAACATCCTCACTCCTCCCGATCTCCATAAAGTTGTCAACGCCCTCATCTTCTCCCGCCTCGACTACTGTAACTCCCTCCTCTCCAGTCTCGACGCTAAATCCCTCTCCCGCCTCCAACTGGTCCAGAACGCAGCAGCCAGACTTCTCACTGGTTTTAACAGAAGGGAGCACATCACCCCTGTCTTAGCGTCCCTCCACTGGCTCCCTGTGCGTTTTAGAATTGATTTTAAGATTTTACTGATTACTTTTAAAGCTCGTTTAGGTCTGGCACCAAGCTATATTTCTGAACTTTTAACCCCCTACGAGCCCCCCCCGCAGCCTTAGATCCTCGGGCAGGTCCCTGTGACTGTTCCAAGGTCGAGGCTCCGGACGAAAGGTGACCGAGCCTTCTCTGTCCGGGCTCCTCGGCTTTGGAACGACCTGCCCGAGGAGATAAGGCTAGCACCATCAGTATCCTCTTTTAAATCTCTTCTTAAAACCCACTTTTATCAAACAGCTTTTAACTGTTAGTTTTAAACTTCACATGCTGTATTTTATTGTCTGCTTTGTCTTTGTTGTGTCTCTTTTGTGTTTTGCTCTGTTTGCTTTGTGTTTCTGTATCTAATTATTTTGACCTTGCATTATGACTGTTTTTATTGTTTATCATGCTGACTGTGCAGCGCTTTGTAAACACTGTTTTTAAAAGTGCTATATAAATAAAGATTATTATATTATTATTCAAACCAATTCAGTGTTTTTAAATAAAGACAGCTGAGTTCACATTTTGTCCATGGAGGTACTGCTTTCTCACAGAGCCAAACAGACCTGATATAGATAGATGGGAATGGGTCAAATGGAGACAAAACTTGGGGTGCGCAATTATAATTTTTTTTTTATATTGATATTTTTTAAAACAAATATTTTTAATTCATTTATATCAATATTTATTGACCCACACTTTGCAAATAGAAGCATGAGGAGGATGTTTCGTTAATACATTTCCAATAAAGGAAATGGTGTTGTGGACAGTTCCAAATACGTAATGTGCATGAATGACGATCCAAACATGAACTTATGAGAAAGACGTGGATATGGGAAGTTCTTCCCTAAACAACTTTAAAAACAACTTTCCATGGCATCTCCTCCAACCATAGTTAGTTCAGTAACGGCTTCTTTTGGGAAACCTCGCTCTGTGCTGTCTATTGTTGAGGCTCAGGAGGCGGAGCTTGTTATACCATGTAGTTATACATTATTGACTTGTTTCCTGAATACCACAGTCAATGTCACTGATTATGGGTGCTTTTCCAGTTGCCAAGGCAACCTACTTTAATGACAGGGGCTGGTGACAGACTTTCCTCCCTTGCCCCTTGGTAATTGTACTCTGTGATGACCGCCTTTGCACTCCACACTGAAGGCTATCGGGGAAGTGGGCGATGAGGGCATTTAGAGAGCAGTGGCTGGGTAAAGTTCAGCCATGGGAGTATAATTGTTTTTTTTTGGGTTTTTTTGTACAGAAAAGTGACCATTCTGTTTTCAGAAAGTAAATGTTGCTCGTTTTTATCATAGCAGCCAGGTCAGAGAGACCTTGAGCTACTTATATCCTTTTTACAGTGTTTTTAGTTTTTCACTATTTGTTACACATATCTGCAGATATTCTTAAAAACATGGATGAAACATGTTCGATAGAATATGTTCTTAGGGGAGTTATATATTGTTTTTCTCACAATCTTTCTCATGAAGGACTTTCTTTAAGGAGCTCTTAAAATCCCATCGAGTCCCATCAGACTGAACCAGAACATGACACATGAAACCAGCTCTCAGAGCCCACAAAGCATTATATCAGTAGTTAGTAAAATAGATCCATCCATTCATTTTCTTCCGCTTCATCTGTTGCCGGGTCGCAGTGGCATCATTTATATTATTAATAAAAAGGATGTTTCCCTGTTGACAATGACGATCCATTTAGTTACGATCTAAGTAGTTATGATCTAAGTAGTTATGATCTAAGTAGTTATGATCTAAGTAGTTATGATCTAAGTAGTTATGATCTAAGTAGTTAAGATCTAAGTAGTTATGATCTAAGTAGTTAAGATCTAAGTAGTTACGATCTAAGTAGTTATGATCTAAGTAGTTATGATCTAAGTAGTTATGATCTAAGTAGTTACGATCTAAGTAGTTATGATCTAAGTAGTTACGATCTAAGTAGTTACGATCTAAGTAGTTATGATCTAAGTAGTTACGATCTAAGTAGTTATGATCTAAGTAGTTATGATCTAAGTAGTTATGATCTAAGTAGTTATGATCTAAGTAGTTATGATCTAAGTAGTTACGATCTAAGAAGTTATGATCTAAGAAGTTATGATCTAAGTAGTTATGATCTAAGTAGTTATGATCTAAGTAGTTATGATCTAAGTAGTTATGATCTAAGTAGTTACGATCTAAGTAGTTATGATCTAAGTAGTTACGATCTAAGTAGTTACGATCTAAGAAGTTATGATCTAAGTAGTTATGATCTAAGTAGTTATGATCTAAGTAGTTATGATCTAATGTTATTTTCATTGAGGTCAATTAGGCAGAAAAGCACAGCGAGTTACATTCTCACAACGTGTTCCAGGAAAAATATAATTTCTGTCTCGACTGAAGGAAAGAAGTGTGTAACCCAAAACTGGTCTACCACTTTGCAACAATTACTATTTGACCACTTACAAAACATGTGAAAACAGCTGTGGAAACCTTGGATATTCTTCTCCTGCATTTATAATGTTTAGTGTGGAAAGTGGAGTATTGATTATTGGTGAAGGGCGTGTGCCAAAATGTCTGCATTGGGAACACAAATGGAGCTCCCATGGCATGTTCCATATTCATCATCTGGGCAGAAGGCGGACTGAGCACTAACACAATTATCTGTGTAGGATCTGGAATGGCACCTGTTACAGCAGGGGACTCCAACCTCTAACATGGGGGCTATCAGTAGCTCGTCAGCCCCTTTCAGGTAGCTCCCCGAAGGATTTAGAATTAAAAATCCCCAAAAAATGTAGAATGAAAAATCACATCTTTAATGAATACATTTTGAGTCATTGTGTATCATAAGTATAAATATAGAGTTATACAGTATTATGGTATATTTTACATGTGTTCTCTATGTTTTGTCATAATTATTAAGGAGTTGACATTTATCAAAACTTATGGACTTTGGTCATCTGCCGCTTATGGACCAATACCAATGTGTTTTCTGTTCTATTTCTCAAGATAAGATAAGATAGACTTTATTGATCTCACACAGGAGACATTTTCATCTTGTGTTTGAGCTGATGAGTATTATTCTCTGATCTGTGTTGGCAAAATCAACAGTTGTGTAAAGTCCTCTGAGAAAACTGCTGTTTAGGGTTATGCAAGTCTCGGATAGATAAAAGTTGGAGACCCCTGTGTTGGAGTTCGTCGGGGAGAGGAAGTAGATTTGGCATAATTACATAAGGATTGGTAATTGTTTGGTTATGGGCTTATTTTTATTATGCTGCTTTCTTGTCGACAAAGTTTTTTCTCCTCTTAAGACCAGTGGTTGAATGTGTTCAGGTGACATCACAATATACCAAAGAGTCTATAGTTACAACACTTATTTCCTGGTAACTATGGTAAAATATAGATTTCTCGTCTTCACTGTAATTCCTGGATCAATCCACGTTAAAACAAAATGGTTTTAGTTGATTATTAACGACAGTCGCCACAGGAATAAGCCAGACACACAACAGGCCTTCTGTAATGTCAGACTGAGGTGTGCAGCGATGAACTGCTCTGTCCGCCGTGTGTTGTATTCACAAATATCACATGCATTCACAAACGTGGAACACAAAGCATTGACAGTAAACCATTCATTTGTGCTCATTTATGGGGTCTCTCAGCATGCGGGATGTTGCCAAAGCATTCGTGTTAATGAGCTCCATCATTCATGGGAAATGATGGCACAATTAGGAAAACAAAAGTGCAAGGTGTGACAATTTAAGTGAATGTGCTTTGTCAGAGTCTGCAAACTACACCTTCGAGACAGAGTGTGTGCGAGAAGGCTGCTGCAGGGAAAAAACAACTTTGTGGAGGGATAGACTGGTGTGACAATTTGACTAAATGTCTCAAAAATACTTTCAAGCTGGCTGTGCAGGATTATTGAAGAACCGGCTCAATATCTACTGCATTTCTAGTTTTTCTTTTGTTTTATTGCTCCCTACTTATCTGACTTTAAGGGGCTGACTTCTCCCCAATGTTTCCCAAAGTGGGGGTCAGGACTGTTGTTAAATGTATACACTGTATTTGAATATACATTTGATTAAACAATGAACTGCTCTATTTTAATACATCTATATTTGAAGTATTTCTTTGAGTTTTGATTGTTCCGTGGAACGAGCCGATGTGTGTGTTTATTTTTCCTCCTGATTTCAAACTCTCAAATTGCGTGTTCTTTTCTAAATTAAAGTCAAACCTACACAATATACAAGTTCACTCACAAATATACAAACCTTCAGATTTTACAGAAGTAGGTATTTTTCTCTGGTTACCATAGCACCAAGAATGATGGAATCCATTGAATATCATTTTCACATCATCAATTTCACAAAGTGTTGTTTTGCTGAATTCCAGGAACGAACTCTCTTATCCCACTTTTAGACGAGATATTGTCCAATTCTGAACATTGTTGAGAAATAATGAGCAATACTCCATATCATCCACTGGCTTATTTACCGTATTCACAAGCTTTAATTTTTAATACATTTTCAAGCTTTTCTTTCTTTATCAAAAGCCCATTCTTGCCTTTCTTCTTGGCTTGGTAAATTGAATACAACAGGGCGCGATATCCAGCCCAAAGTGCATCTGCGCAGAGCACTGGTGATGTAGAAGGAGAAGCAGGGTCCATTTCCTCTGCTGCTTATGGAGATATTGTCCCCTGTGGGCCTCGTTTAGCTGAGGATGGTCCATACGTGCATTCATTCAGACTCCTGCATCCGACACTTCGTAGATAGACTACACACTTATGAGCATTTACGTCTGTGGGAAGAGCCAGAAGTGCTTAACAAAGTGAAAGTTATAAAAAAGACACAGTGGGAAATGAGGAGGCTTATTTACAAGCATGGGTTGGTGATTGGATAAGGATATATCGGAGCAGTTTGTGTGGATTATTTTAAAATTTCCATAATTTATTCATTGAAACTCATTTTGGTCTAATTTTTTATATATTTTTGGGTTGGTTCTTACATCTGAGACATTCCAAACATGTACAGCTCACATTCTGCTGACTTACAACGTGAAACTTGTATATAACAGGCTCAATACAGGACGACTATTTTGTATAATCTCACAGCTTGTAAAAAAACACAATCAAAACATTTCAGAAAATTAGAATATTGTGTAAATGAATAGTGATCACCAACATAATAACAAGTTTGTCACTTTGCACGGAATGAAATGTCTATGTCACATATTGAAGTTAGTTTTGTGCAATATTCTACTTCTCAGAGATTCACGTGTATTGTTCAGCAGGGAGCAAATAATCAACTTTCATTTTTACCCGAAAAACATATTTTGTCTGGATAACACTATAAGTCCTCAAGTGGCTTCTATTCAGGTTTATGTGGGTCATATTTAATAATAAAAATACAAAAAACAAACCCATGAATACATCCATCAAAACTAGTGGCTCATGTTCTTTCTTTCAATTATTAGTAGATTTATTTTCATTTAATTTTTGTAAATATCTGACTCCAAACCTGGCATAAACTAAGGTCCTTTTTACAGACATATGGCAACGTACGTGTTCATTCATTTAGTTTCACATCCGTACAGAACAACACTGTATTCATCTCATTAGAACATTTCTTACACTGTGCACAACTGTAAGTGAGCCACTATTTGACGGTCCTCTCTTTTTCACTTTTCTGACTGAAAATACTAAATAGGCCATAGTGGTTAAAAATACATGGATGTGAAACTGTGATAGAATAGTGTTTTGAGAGCAAGGAAATGGTTAGATTTGAATACTTCTGCTATATTCTCATTCAAAAATAATAATCATTTTATTTATGGTCTGACGGTTAAGTACCCCCAATTCAAGGCTATTATCTAAGTTAAGGCACAGATTTGTCTTGTAAAGAGTTCATGAGTAAGAAGTGTCAGTCTTCCTCTAACCCTGTCCACCTCCTCTGCTTTAGAGCCGACCACTCTGCGACTCAGGCTGTGTACACATATTATTCTGTCACGTCAACAAAGTCAAATGCATGCCTCTCAAACTGTTATTTTGTGTTCTGGGTTTGTGTGCATAAAATACTTTACTACTTCACACATAATCGATCACCAAATGTGTACGAGCACGTAAATCTTGCATGGGAAGAAGTGCATTATAGTAAAGTGGTAAGATAATAATATATCTCACTCATGGAGCAGTCGAAGCACAAAGGCACTGAACATTCTCTGCTTAGTTCACAAAGGCACTTTACATTATTGGATCTCACGCTGTGCAGTAATCACGCAATGATTTGCTTTTATACACCTTTGTTCTCCAGTTATGCAAACTCAGATTGACATACGGTAGAGGCCATAGACGTATCTGGATTTATTCAAGACCACTTTCCAAAATTATCTCCTTAAAGCTGGGGTACCTAACATATCCCAACGCTCTTAAAAGAGTTTGTTTCTATAACTAGTTTTCACATGCCTGGGTTTTTTAAGCCTCTATCACATTTAGATCCGCTTTTCCAATGTCTAATGTGTGTACCTAGTGTGCACTGTGTATAGTATATATTTTAAGAACTTGTTTTTAAGAAGAAGAAGAAGGTCCTTTATTCGTACCACAATGGGGATATTTCAGTTTGACGCATACACTTACATTCACATGATATATATATACACACATACACATACACATACACCTACACATATACACATACACACACATACACACACATATACACATACACATTCACATACATATCAAGGCAAGCAGCGAACATCACTTCCGCGCTCCTTATAGGCAAAGTGGGGTTAAGTGTCTTGCCCAAGGACACAACGACAGCAGATATCAGTGGGAGTCGATGGAGAAGGTCTCCTGTTGGGCTCGAACCCACGACCTTCAGGCTCAAACGCCAATGCTCTACCAACTGAGCCACTGTCGCCTTTACATCTATTTTTTTAATGCTTTAGCTTGTTTGCACCATGAGCCAAAGCACACTCATAGTTTGTGACTTCCTCACGCAGACAATCAGCACAAAGCGACTCACTGGGCTCTTTCTTACAAGTATCCAACATGTTTTCCTCCAGTGGCCACGATGTAGAGGCACCGCCGACTCCAGCTTTAACTGATTTGGTTTTTCGGTCCAGACACCACCCACCTTTCCTATCAGAGTGCGAGAGAATAATTGATTATGGTTAGAAAGAACCATGGACTTTGTTTCTGTCAGCCTGTAGTTTATGTCAGTGCAGCTGTGACTATCGTAGGAGCATTCTAGCACTTTAATGGAAATAATTAACAATGCATGAAATGATAGCGCGACTTTAGGCAGAATGGACTTAATTATTATGTTTCTGCAGGCGGATCTCTGACAAACCCCTCTTTTCTCTCTCTTTTTGCAGCTACACACAGACTTGGATGTGGGCGGCAGGAACATCAAATACGTCCTGGCGGGAGAGGGCGCCGGCACCATCTTTGCCATCAATGAGCTGACGGGCGATATCCACGCCATGAAGAGGCTGGACCGGGAGGAGAAAGCCGAGTACACGCTCACAGCTCAGGTGGTCAACGCCGACACGGACGAGCCCCTGGAGCCGCCGTCGGGTTTCATCATCAAAGTACAGGACATAAACGACAATCCTCCGCAGTTCATCGAAGGCCCGTACCGCGCCTCTGTGCCTGAGATGTCTGCAGTCGGTGAGTGCAGTTCATCTATAGACCAGAGGTGTGGACTCCGGTCATGTGACTTGGACCTGAGTCAGACTCGAGTCATGAATTTGATGACTTTAGACTCAATCCATCTTCTTCCTTTTAATCCATTTCTGGGTCGGGGGCGGTCAGAGGTGCACCCAGTTCACATAGCACCATGTCGCTGTGTAAATGTTAAGAGATGTCGTTAAATCGTTGAATGTCAAAATGTCCGAGATCAGGCGTGTCAAACTCCGGCCTGCAAGACAATTTTTAGTTGCCCCTAAAGTGATTTTCAATTATTATAATCAACTTGCTGCTCGGATGGTTATGGGCGACTTTAACTTATTCAAACTTGTTAGTCAAACCCATCATTAGAAGTAAAATGTTTAAATATAAAACAGTTTGTCTCAGACTCACCAATTTGCTCTTAACAACCCATGGTTTGCCGCTCAGTACTATCCTGGTGTTTTTATATTTTGCCAGATATTTCACCTAACAAGCGACCAATCAACTGTCCTCTGACCCCGACTGCTGCTTTAGCTGCAAGTATAGCACGAGTAAACCAGATGGTGTCTTTGGTTACTAGCTCATTGCTAACTAAAGGTTAACTGTCCTATGACTGTAAGATTCAGTGATTGGCAGTGCTCCAGATTCCCATCAACAACTCAAGTAAGAGTCTGGGGGCAGATTTGATTTGGTCAGTGTTGGTTTTGCTTTAAAAGACGCTAGTCTCTCCAAGTGACCTCTGACCTCTGCATAGAGTCCACTTTGGTTTTTTTCAATTGTGCCCTCAGTTTGTTTTTGGAATTTGTTTATGGTGTAAATAGAGTAAAAAGTATTGCCTCACTTCACATTGATATAGTGTTATATTTAGCCACTCTCTTGGCTACAGACTCATGATTCCTGTAATAAGGAAATGGCTACTTCCAAATTCCACAAATACACCTTCTACCTTGCCTGTCCTCTTACTATCATTTGGAATACCTCAGGAATCAATAAGAGAATTAGAATCAACACTTATTCATAAGCAAAGGAAGGTTTCTCACCCATCATCTGTACTTCTTAGCAAGTTTTCCCGACGTTTCGTCCTCAACCTAGCGGACTTCTTCAGGGAATGAATTCTCGGACCGCGCGTTGGAGATTTATAACCTATGGGTGTGGTTAGCCACACCCTAATCCTGATACTAACTCATACACAATCTACGGTCTGCTTGATGTAGAAGGGAGCAGATCTAACGACCCTGCTGAGGCTAACGACCCTAACTCATTAGCATGTCACTGACCTATTGTCTGCTGGGATGCTCAAGTGGAGTGCAGGTCTCACCCCTCCTAACTCATTAGCATGTCACTGACCTTGTCCCAAGTTAGGGCGTTGTTTTTAGGATGTCGTCATAGATGCGAGGCAAAACAAATCTTAACCCTCCTCCTCTGTTAAGAGAAGGTTTTTGTTTCCTCACAAAAATGGCTTCTTTCACCCCTCTCTCAAACCAATTCTTCTCCCGAGCCAGAATTTTAACCTCTGTGTCATCCACCGTGTGGTTGGAGGCCTTGAGGTGGAGATGAACAGCCGACTGTGGCCCACTAGAGTTTTCTCTACGATGTTGGTAAAGTCGTTTCTGTAGAGTTTGTTTGGTTTCTCCAATGTAGTGGTCAGTGCACTCCTCTTCACTACATTTAATTGAATACACCACATTGCTCTGTTTGTGTCTGGGTGTTTTGTCTTTGGGATGCACTAATTTCTGTCTTAACGTGTTGAAAGGTTTGAAATACACAGGGATTTTGTGTTGCCTAAAGATTCTTTGTAGTTTCTCTGAAACTCCCGCCACATACGGTAAGGACACCCCTCTCCTCCTACTTTCTTCTGTCTGTTGGACTGTGTCTCTGGCCTTTCTCGTCCTTTGGGCTTTAGTAAAAGACCACTTGGGGTAGCCACATCTGGAAAGTGCTCTCTGAACATGTTTGGTTTCTCTGTTCTTTCCCTCCGAGCTCGTGGGGACCTGGTGGGCTCGGTGTTGAAGCGTTCTAATGACCCCGAGTTTATGTTGTAGCGGATGATTTGAGTCAAAGGCCAGGTACTGGTCAGTGTGAGTGGACTTTCTGAAGACCTCAGTCTCTAATTGTCCGTTCTCCAGTATGATGACCTTACAATCTAGAAAGGCCAGTTCACTCTCCTTAGCATCCTCGCGAGTGAAATTTATAAAAGGGTCCACCGAGTTAATGTGTTCTGAAAATGGTTCCACTTCCTGTTTCTTTAACTTAACCCATGTATCGTCTACATATCAAACCAATGGCTTGGCGCTGTCCCTTGGTAAGAGCCCAGGGCTTGTTCCTCCAGTTTCTCCATATACAGATTGGCCACTATAGGAGAGACTGGGGAGCCCATCGTCTCCATATACAGATTGGCCCCTATAGGAGAGACTGGGGAGCCCATCGCACAGCCATGAATCTGTCTAAAGAAGGTGCCTCTAAATTGGAAATACGTGGTGTTAAGACACATTTCAAGTATTTCACAGATGTGGTCAGCTGTTAGTTTCGTTCTCTCCCCTAGTGTGGCGTCTTTCTGTAGGCTTTCTCTTACAGCCTGCACCGCCTCTGTAATAGGGACCGACGTAAAAAGTGATGTCACATCAAACGAGACCATTGTCTCATCTGTGTCAAACTGGAGCTGTTTGATTTTATTTACTAATTCTTTTGTGTTTTCTATGTGATGGTGGGTGTTACCCACCAAAGGAGCCAGAATGGTTTTGAGGTGTTTAGCCAGGTTGTAGGTGATAGAGTCTATGCTACATACAATAGGCCGAAGTGGAAAGTTTTGTTTGTGTATTTTTGGGAGTCCATAAATACTGGGAATGGTGTCTCCTGGGTAAAGTTTGTAATATAGTGGTTTTTCAATAATGCCCTCTTTTACTAAGCTCTGAAGGAAGTCTATAATCTTTTTCCTAAACCCACTGGTAGGGTCCCTCTTCAATGGCTGGTACGTGTTGGTGTCCAAGAGTAACTGGTTAACTTTGGCCTCATAGTCTGAGCTGTTGAGGATAACTGTGCATCTGCCTTTGTCAGCTGGTAAAATAGTTATACTCTCATCCTTTTGTAATGCCATTAATGCTTTTTGCTCATCTAATGAGACATTGGATTGTGGGGGCTTCGCACTTTTGAGTGTTGCAGAGACTCTCAGTCTGAGGGCCCCGGCCTCACTCTCAGTTAGTTTGTTGTTTCTAATGGCTGCTTCTGCTGCTGTGATGTATTCAATTGTAGGAATATCTTTTGGGGTTATTGCAAAATTTAGGCCTTTAGTAAGAAGGCCTTTACTAAAGGCCTAAACATCTTTAGTAAGATGTTCTTACTAAAGGCCTAAATTTTGGCCACAGTTATCCTCAACAGCTCAGACTATGAGGCCAAAGTTAACCAGTTACTCTTGGACACCAACACGTACCAGCCATTGAAGAGGGACCCTACCAGTGGGTTTAGGAAAAAGATTATAGACTTCCTTCAGAGCTTAGTAAAAGAGGGCATTATTGAAAAACCACTATATTACAAACTTTACCCAGGAGACACCATTCCCAGTATTTATGGACTCCCAAAAATACACAAACAAAACTTTCCACTTGGGCCTATTGTATGTAGCATAGACTCTATCACCTACAACCTGGCTAAACACCTCAAAACCATTCTGGCTCCTTTGGTGGGTAACACCCACCATCACATAGAAAACACAAAAGAATTTGTAAATAAAATCAAACACCTCCAGTTTGACACAGATGAGACAATGGTCTCGTTTGATGTGACATCGCTTTTTACGTCGGTCCCTATTACAGAGGCGGTGCAGGCTGTAAGAGAAAGCCTACAGAAAGACGCCACACTAGGGGAGAGAACGAAACTAACAGCTGACCACATCTGTGAAATACTTGAAATGTGTCTTAACACCACATATTTCCAATTTAGAGGCACCTTCTTTAGACAGATTCATGGCTGTGCGATGGGCTCCCCAGTCTCTCCTATAGTGGCCAATCTGTATATGGAGAAACTGGAGGAACAAGCCCTTGTCTCTTACCAAGGGACAGCGCCAAGCCATTGGTTTCGATATGTAGACGATACATGGGTTAAGTTAAAGAAACAGGAAGTGGAACCATTTTCAGAACACATTAATTCGGTGGACCCTTTTATAAATTTCACTCGCGAGGATGCTAAGGAGAGTGAACTCGCCTTTCTAGATTGTAAGGTCATCATACTGGAGAACGGACAATTAGAGACTGAGGTCTTCAGAAAGTCCACTCACACTGACCAGTACCTGGCCTTTGACTCAAATCATCCGCTACAACATAAACTCGGGGTCATTAGAACGCTTCAACACCGAGCCCACCAGGTCCCCACTAGCTCGGAGGGAAAGAACAGAGAAACCAAACATGTTCAGAGAGCACTTTCCAGATGTGGCTACCCCAAGTGGTCTTTTACTAAAGCCCAAAGGACGAGAAAGGCCAGAGACACAGTCCAACAGACAGAAGAAAGTAGGAGGAGAGGGGTGTCCTTACCGTATGTGGCGGGAGTTTCAGAGAAACTACAAAGAATCTTTAGGCAACACAAAATCCCTGTGTATTTCAAACCTTTCAACACGTTAAGACAGAAATTAGTGCATCCCAAAGACAAAACACCCAGACACAAACAGAGCAATGTGGTGTATTCAATTAAATGTAGTGAAGAGGAGTGCACTGACCACTATATTGGAGAAACCAAACAAACTCTACAGAAACGACTTTACCAACATCGTAGAGAAAACTCTAGTGGGCCACAGTCGGCTGTTCATCTCCACCTCAAGGCCTCCAACCACACGGTGGATGATGACACAGAGGTTAAAATTCTGGCTCGGGAGAAGAATTGGTTTGAGAGAGGGGTGAAAGAAGCCATTTTTGTGAGGAAACAAAAACCTTCTCTTAACAGAGGAGGAGGGTTAAGATTTGTTTTGCCTCGCATCTATGACGACATCCTAAAAACAACGCCCTAACTTGGGA